AGACGCGGCACGCGCGCGACAACCTCGCAAAGGTGGGGGGGCTCGCCGCCACCCCCTCGCCCCCCCCTCGCTCCCCTCGCTCGCCCTCCACGCCCCTCGCGGCTCACCTCGCCCCTCCTCGGCTCATTTCGCCCCTCGCGGCTCATTTCGCCCCTCCTCGGCTCACCTCGCCCCTCGCGGCTCATTTCGCCCCTCCTCGGCTCACCTCGCCCCTCGCGGCTCACCTCGGCCCTCCTCGGCTCACCTCGGCCCTCGCGGCTCACCTCGCCCCTCGCGGCTCACCTCGGCCCTCCTCGGCCCACCTCGGCCCTCCTCGGCCCACCTCGGCCCTCCTCGGCTCACCTCGGCCCTCCTCGGCTCACCTCGGCCCTCCTCGGCTCACCTCGCCTCGGCCACCCCCCCCGTGCAAAAGGCCGTCTACTCGGCCCTCTTCGACTGGGCCGTCGGCTTTGTCAACTGCAAGCTCGGCGCCCTCGCGGCGGCGGCGGAGCGGGACTGCTTCATCGGCATCCTCGACATCTTCGGCTTCGAGTCCTTTGCTGTGAACAGCGTCTCTTCACACCCGCAGCTGTGCGTAGGCATCCTCGACATCTTCGGCTTCGAGTCCTTCGCTGTGAACAGCGTCTCTTCACACCCGCAGCTGTGAGTAGGCATCCTCGACATCTCCGGCTTCGAGTCCCTTTGCTGTGAACAGCGTCTCTTCACACCCGCAGTTGTGAGTAGGCATCCTCGACATCTTCGGCTTCGAGTCTTTCGACACCAACGGCTTCGAGCAGCTGCTCATCAACTTTGCGAATGAGAAGCTGCAGGCCACCTTCAACCAGCACGTCTTCGCCGCCGAGCAGGCCGAGCACGCCCCCAGACGCCGCCCAGACACAGCCGCCGAGACGCGCCCTGCCGAGATGGCTCCGAGACCCCTCAGGACGCCGCCGGGTGGGCAGCCGCAGCGCGCCTCCCTCGCCAGCTCCTGCGCCTCCCCTCTCGCCGCGCAGGAGCTCCCCATATCTCGCCATATCTCCCCATATCTCGCCATGTCTCGCCATGTCTCGCCATGTCTCGCCATATCTCGCCACGCAGGAGCTGTACGCGGCGGAGGGCATCGCGTGGCGCAGCGTGCGCTGGCCGGACAACTCGGAGACGATCGGCCTGATCGCGTCCAAGGAGCGCGGCAGGGCGCCAGGCCCGCCCACCCGCCCGAGATTCGCCGAGATTCGCCGAGATTCGCCGAGGATCCCACCTGGCCGAGGCTGCCCGCGCCCGCCCGCGCGGCCGCCGCCCACGCCCGTTACACGGGCCCGATCTCCCCATATCTCCCTGCGCCTCGAGGGCTCCGACGGCCGTCGCGTCGCCCCCTCGCGCGCATACCTCCCCCCCTACCTCCCTCTATCTCGCAGGCGTCCTCCACCTGCTCGACGAGACCTCGCGCCTGCCCAACCAGACGGACGCAGACTTCAACAAGCGCGTGCACGACGCGCACGGCGCCGCCGCCGCGGCCCGGCCGCCCCCCGCCCGCTCTCCCCCGACACGTCCCCGCGGCACGCGCACGCAGGCGCCGCCACCGCGCTGCGCCGCCCGGACCCGCGCGCGAGGGCCGCCAAGTTCGCAGTGCGCCACTACGCGGGCGAGGTCACGTACACAGCCGCCGGCTTCCTCGACCGCAACAACGGCACCGTCTCGGCGGACCTCGTCACGCTGCTCGGCAGCTCGGCCCACACCCTCCTCGCCGCCGCCTTTGCCGCCGCCGCCGCCGAGCCGAGCACGCCGGCCGCCGCCGCAGAGAGCGCCAAGTCGTCGACGCCGAGGCAACCCCCCCCCCCCCGCGTGTGATGGGTCGCGTCCGGCAGGCTGGGCCGGGGTCTCGAGTGATTGTGT